ATACCTAAGGGCAACAAAAATAGCTCAAACACACAGAGAGAAACTCTGTAGGACCTTGCAACGCACAGGCCCATAGAAGGCATTTTTTGTGTTGAGAGTACCTCACATTTTCATCCTGGCATTAAGGATGTTTTTGTGGAATTAAACGTTCTACCAGTTATGTAATTCTAAGTGCTTAGAAAACTTCTATTTGATTAATTGTAAGCGTCACTAGAAGTAGACTACAAGACCAAACTTTTAAACATGGTGTTCATTCTTGCCATTAGTTATTGGTAACTGATTGGTTCTCCAACTATTTTCTGCTCTGAAATCTTAGCACATTTTGCAAGTTATTTTGAAATCAAATCACCTGGAAGAAGCTGAGATACAATACAGAACTCTATACAGCACTGGGCTAACGAATTACAAAAAGCATAGATAACAATGCCTTGAGAAGTATTTAGCCCCCAAATTACCTGACAAAACTAATCATAATGCTTGGTGTATTTCTCCCCTTCCAACTGATGTGTCGAGGCTTGTTCTTTCAAGTAGGAAAAGTACCTTATGAAATGAACTGCCTTAAGAACTATGAAACAGTAACTCTAACAATGTAGTTAATTTTTCTTGTTTCCTTTCATGCTAGGTATATTCATTTTAATTTACCCAGCCTGAATCACCTCTGAAGGAGTTTTTAATATTGACTTTTTGTCTACATTAAACATGCTTCTTGACACAGTGTACTTGGTCAGATCATGCTTCTGAGCAGGGCTAATGAGGTTTCTATTTGTATAACTTCTCACTTGTACCTTCCCTGAAGCCCTGGCTCTCAGCACAACTGCAATACCATGCAACTAAAAAAATCAGAAGACCTGTCTTTTTCAAAACAATTAAAAACTCTGTTGCTAAGGTACAATCACATCAAACATTCAGGACCTCAAGCAAGCCATCAGGAAACACTTTCTAATAGTCCTGCAAGTATCCACTGATTGATCAAAGCACTGGGCAGCAGTTCATCAGTCTCCAAGCTCTGAAGGCTCAAGCATTAAAGAAAGACACTGGATTTCAACACAGAGAAGAATGGTCACCTGAGATGGTAAAGATTTCACCATGCACCGCCCTCAGCCATTGACATCTATCCCACCCAGCACCTATCAGCCCCAGATTATAGCATAATAACCTTTCTTGTGGTGGTCCCCATTTATGTATCTTCTGCCAAACCTAAAGATGAAGAAGTTCCGCCATGTAGCAAAGGACCCTCTCAGATGAACTGAAGATGCCTATGGCACAAAGGTGCATTGATGAACTGCTCACACTTAGTTCTGCAGACTATGGCACATTCTGGTTTTCTGCTGCTCAGGCACTGCCTGCAAAACCAGACATTTCCATTATTTCCAGAGCAACTCAGAACTACCACATAGCCCAGTGGAATCTGATCTAAAGACCCATCTTATCACACCATGTCCTTCAAAGCTGAGCTAAGAAAGAAGCAGTTGTCGCTATGTGTGACCTGGACACAAAGCATTTCATTCTGAGAAAAATCTTCCCTTTGTCAGTCAAAAAACTCAGCAAGTGAATCAGATGTAAGCAACACTTTAGACATACAAGGTCCATCCACATTTCACCTTTACACTCTGTGAGTGACTCTGGGACCAAAACCCAATTTCACCTAGTGCCGTTCAATACCTGCGGCCCAACAAAAATGACTCTGCTAGAACTTTAGTCAAACTGGCAATTTCTTACTGCCAGCAGCTGAGGGACAGACATTTGCTCTTATCACAACCTCTTTGAAGGACTTACATCACTGCCCCTGAACTGTTTTTTCCCTTGCCAGCAAAGAAGAGAGGTAACCAATGCAGGGAATAGCTCAACTCCTTCCTTGAGGACAGTAGTCAGGAACTCTAAGTGTTGCTCAAAACATTACAAAGCTATTCAGCAGGACTGAATAATGTAATAATTCTTTATTGATGGGGCTGTGTGACTGGGATATCCATCTTGTCACTATGTAAGACAAAGGTTAATGTAACTTGCACTTCAAATGTCCACCTTCAGCTGATCACATGAATGGGGTGGAGGGTTGCTGCATGCTCCCCTGCTGACACAAGCTGCTCTTCATGTAGCTGTTGCTCCTGGAGGCTGATCTGGATGGTAGTCCTGAACCCTGGAGCACTGCTGCAGATCTGGGCATGCCATATTAGCTGATAAAATATGCTCAGACACTGTACTTGAATTTTTAACAAGTCCCTGACTTTATTATAGCCAGCATGTTGACAACCTACCATTTAAACAAACATTCAAGGGGACTTGTTCTCTGCTTCAATTTAGCAGATGTTAGAGCTACAGGACTTGAAGCTGAAACCAGAATCTGTTGAAACAGCTTTAGACAGTAGCTTCTGTCAAGGAGGTGCAGAGAGAGCACTTCCCCCATTTCAGTTTATTCTGCTAGTTCAACAACCCAGACAGAAAGGTAGTATCTCTCTAAGAATAAACAAGGTGCCAAAAGTTGATGTGACCACCTCTAAGAGCTCCCAAAACACAAATCAAGCAATAGTATTCCCCAATCAACCATCCCTAACACTTTCTTTATTAAAGTGACCTTAACCGCAAGTCTTCCTTGAAGTATTTGTACTCTAGCTTAAGTAGAGGCCTATGTACTTTGTCTCAAGTTCCTGCTGTTAAACTACACTTCAAGTGGAACACAATTCCCAAACTCACTGCCACAAAGTTGAAAAAAAGTTACATCCTGTAATTGCGTCTTTCCAATCCCACTTTCCTAACCTTACTAAACTGAAAACACAAAAAAAAATGAAGCTAAATATTTCATCAAGTTAAGAAATACAGAAAATGAAAGGCATGCAAGGTGAGCACTAGTTTAGAGCAGCACATACAATTAATATATTGGAAGAGTCACCCATCAAAGAAAGTTATCCAAATGATTCCATAAGCAGAGCCTAACACATGTGAAGACCTAAGACAAAGAGAGCCAAGAATATCACTTCTCACAGGACTCCTTCTTCCTTTTTCAGTGTCTCAAAAGTCTAGATGCATAACCAAAGACTACAAAAATCCACCATGCAGGGCTCCTCATGAAGGAGAGATGAGACAGAATCAACACACGAGAGATTTCAGCCACAGCACTTGAAGGGAATCCCACTGCTGGGGAGAGGTGGAAGCATCATGAGACCTCATCTTCCCACGCTCAAAACAACTATCACAGGGTTGGTCAAAAGACTTTAGAAGAAAGGCACAGCAGTTCAAGGACATCAAATAGTCAAAAACCCAATCACAATACTGAGGTAAGGCAACTGGGAGCCTTGCCTAAAACTACACTTGTTAACACACATCCCAAATTACTTCTCAGGCAACTTCAGCTTCTTTCCAGGAACAACTGCAAATATGCAGTCCAGAGACCTCCCCAACCAAACAAAACTATTTTGATCACTCATGATTTCTTTGACTAAAAATGGATGAGTAATGTAAGTGCAGGAAGAGGTCACCAGACCATTTGGATGTAAAGATGACACTGTGAGCAACTAAAGACTCGAGCGACTTCCTGAATAAGTAATAATGGAGGTGAGTCTAAGAATACACCTATCACACCTACATGAGTAAGCCAGCCAACTCACTACAAAAGAAAAGTCTTATGCCAAAGCCTTCCTTTACTTCCAAACAATGAGGCCAAACTGAACATGACTCAAATCTATTATTCCCCAAGCTACAGGTTATTTTGGTTTTGTGGAACAAAGCTCTTAAACCTCGACCTGTGGAGGCCAAGAGGCACTGAAGGTGCACGTTAGTCAAGCAAAGACATCATCTAAAATTTTTTTTCAGTTTGAGAGAAGCCAAAGGGCATGAAATGGGAGATGCAGGAGCCACAACTAAAACAGTTAACTGCTGGGAGAAGCAAGCTCATGGGGACAATATTTTGCCAGAGATCAAGCAGATACCAAGAAGAGAGGAGCGTACCTATGGAACACATCTTCTGCAGGCATGAAGGTTTTCCAATTGCCTGTTTTAAGAAAAAAGTGCAACTCCTCCTTCTCCAGTTGTTTTGATAATTTAAGGACACTCCCTTCAGTTCCTTTCTGGGATGGCTGTGCCAGATTTCTTATTTGCTGTATTCACAAGAGTGGAAATAATAACCACAAAAGTTTTTTTGTATTAACAGGAAGGCTGAGAAAGGAATTGAATCTATCTTCACCCATTATATGTTGCTGCAGCTCTTTGAAGGCTTAAAGGCTTCTTAAAGCATGGAGAGGAAGAACACAGGAGTAGAAAAAAATTGTGTCAAACAGCCCTGAAGCCCATGGAGTCCTGAGGGAAACACTGCCTTTACCCTGAATTACCCATCAATGAGTGAAGATATCAAGGGATGGCTTGGAAGCCCCTTACTTTGAAATAAATATCACAGAGTCATAAAACGTTTGGGTTGGAAGGGAGCTTGAAGATGATCTAGTTCCAACCCCACTGCCATGGGCAGGGACACCCTCCACTAGACCAGGTTGCTCCAAGCCCCATCCAGCCTGGCCCTGAGCATTTCCAGGGATGGGGCATCCGCAGCTTCCGTGGGCAATCTGTGCCAGGGCCTCACCACCCTCACAATGAACAATTTCGCCCTAATAGCTAAGCTAAACCTACTCTCTTTGAGTTTGAACCCATTCCCCCTTGTTGTGTCCCTAAACACTCTTGTAAATAGTCTTGCCCCATCTTTCCTCTAAGTCAGGAACTAAAAGGATATGAAATACGCGACTAGATGATCTCCACAGGTCCCTTCCAACCGTAACAATTCTGTGAAATACACACAGAGCAGAGCCCAGGGGGCATCTCGGGGCGGAAGGGGAGAACACTCACTCCGCCGAGGCTCGCACGGGAGGCTCTCTGGGGCTCAGAGAGCAGACCAGCAGCGCGGCGGTGGCCGTGGCGCGGCTCCCCCTCTGCCCAGGCCGTGCCCGTGCCCCCTCCCGCAGGCCCGGCCCCGGCCCAGCCCCACACCGCGGCCCGCGGCGCGGGGGAAAGGCCCGTACCTTGAAGTACCCGCCCTCGTAGAGCGTGTTGGGGGGCCCGAAGATCGCCACCTCCCAGTTGTAGAGGTCGGACTCGTCGACCAGGGTGATGCGGAAGCCCTCGACCGGCTCCTCCTGCAGCGACTTCAGCTCCGGGCCACGCCCCCGCCGCACGCGCTGCCGCGCGCCACGCCCCCCGCCGCGTGCCTTTAAAGGGGCCGCGCTCCCCGGCGCCTTGGCCGTCCTGGGGGGAGAAGTCAGGTGGTGAGGTGGGGGTGGGAACGGGACGCAGGTTTGTGGTGTAGCGGGGAGGGGGTGGGTCACAAAATCACAACATCAAGTCGTTTGGAAAAAATCTCTGACAGTATCGAGTCCAGCCTATGACCCAACACCACCACTGAGTGCCACGTCCAGTCTTTCCTTGCACAACTCCAGAGACAATGGCCCCATCACCCCCCTGGGCAGCCCATTCCAATGCATAATGATGCTTTCTGTGAAGAAATTCTTCCTAACCTCCAACATAAGTCTTCCCTGGCACATCCTGAGACATTAAGCCATTAGCGAGTGTCCAAAGGAGGGCCTCAAGGATGATGAAGGTTCTGGAGGGTGGCTCTTCCGTGTGAGGAGCAGCCGAGGGCACTTGGCCTGTTCAGCCTGGAGAAGGGGAGACTGAGGGGAGACCTCACTGCAGTTCCTCATGAGACGCAAAGGACAGGCAGGCACTGATCTCCTCTGTGACAGGACCCGGCGGGATGGCATCAAGCTGTGTCAGGGGAGATTTAGTTTGGATATCAGGAAAAACTTTTTCACCAGAGAGTAGTTGGGCAGTGGAACAGGCTCCCCAAGGACACAGTTCAAGAAGCTTTTGGGCAATATTCTCAGGCACAAGGTATGATTCTTGGGGTGCCCTGTGTATGGCCAAGAGTTGGACTCCATGATCCTGGTGGTTCCCTGCCAATTCAGCTTATACTGTGATTCTGTGATTCTGTATCTGCTCCTCCTGTCACTGGATGCCTGAGAAAAGAGACTGACCCCCAGCTACACCCTCCTGTTAGGGAGCTGCAGACAGTGATAAAGACCCCTTGGGTTTCCTCTTCTCCAGGCTAAACACCCTCAGCTCTCTCAGCTGCTCCTCGCCGGAGATGGATTCCGGACCTTTCACCAGTTCCATTGCTCTTCTCTGAAATTGCTCCAGCACCTCAATCTCCTTTCTGGACTGGGGGGCCCAGAACTGGACACAGCACTTGAGGTGCCTCACCAGTGCCAAGTACAGGGCAAGGATTATTTCCCTAATCCTGCTGCTTTTATTATTATTGATCCAAGCCAGGATACCATTGACTTTCTTGTCCACCTGGGCAAACTGCTGTTGTCTCATGTTCAGCTCCTATCAAGCAGTCCCAGGTCCTTTCCCACTGGGCAGCTTTCCAGCCATTCTACCCCAAACCTGGAGATTCAGGAGTTGTTGTGACCCAGGGACCCTGGCACCTGGCCTTGTTGAATCTCACACGATTGGTCTATCCATCCAGCTTGTCTAGATAGTCACAGGTCGTGAGTGTGTACAACAGAGCATGGTTCGCCCACTGGTCACAAAACAGATGGTTTTGTACAGAGCATGGTTTTTGAGGAGTGAACTTGCATGACTCAGGGCCCCATAAAAATCCTGCAGCGGCTCCCAAGCTGCAGCAGGACACAAACAGGCAGCTGCCATCCCTCACCCCAACATGTTGTTCTCATATTCTCCACAGATGTATGATGTAGTCATACCAGAACATACTATTTCCAGTCTTCCTGCCATTCCCTGGCTTGGCTAAGGGTGAAAAATGCTTGCAGAAGTGTAAACCAGTAAACATGAGCCAGCACCTGTTCCTTAGTCAGTATTTAATGAATAACATAAATAATATTCATTAAAAAATAAAGAAAGAAAAATAGCAGTAATTGTCCAGGAGGAGGATGAGCCATTTCTGCTTGGCATTTCTTTCATCCTTCTGTGCATGGCAGGGCTCAGGCCACCTCACAGAGGCACCTGCTCCTTGGACAGACAGGTTGGATGATGTGTCCTCCATCATCCCTATATCATTACACTGTTTTAACCTTCGTCTTTCTTCGCCCATCAGCTCGCAGGCTTTCCCATCCCAGTGACAACCTTGTAGACATGGGTGACCACTGGATCAATCTCCTGCATTTTCCAAAGCCGTGGACTTTCTGAAAGGCACAGGACTGGCAGCCAGGGCCCTGTTGTTGGTGGGAGATCATGCAGCTGGGGCAGCCTGCACAGCAGGGGGACCTTGAAGCCTCTCCCTGACTCTTGGCAGCCTTGGCTCTGGCTCCTTCTCCAGACCTTGGCCCAGGGAGGAGAGCAGGAAGCAGATGGTTTTCCCCAAGCTCCAGCTGCTCCCAGGACAAATTTGCTGTTTCTCAGTGAAAAGCAAGGCACCCTTTCCCTTGTCCCTGAGACTGCTCTGCTTGCTTTTCTCCTGCCTCTTGAGCTTCCCCAGAGTTGCCCCTGTTACTGCTCCAAAGGTGCCCCAGCTCTGTCAGTGGTACCTGGACCAGGGCTTGTGATTGTCTCCAAGTTATAAAATACTACAGCCCTTGCAAAATGCCATCTCACCTTGGACAATGTCCCTGTGGGGACTGGCATCAATTTTGTCATGAAGCTGGGATGAATTCTTGCTCAGTGCTACCAGGATAATACGGAGGAATATCCCTCATCCATCCGGAGCTTGACTGACTGCTGAAATAAAGTGTGTGCTCCCCTACAGGGACAGGTCAGTCACTAGAACAGGTCAGTGGCCATGGCTCACTCTTCACCACCTTGGACTGAGCTCAGATTTACTGAAAGCTGCTTAATTCAGCTCTCACTTCCTCAGCAGGAGGCTGGAGGGCTGGATCATGAAACACTGTTTGTCAGAGAAACTCCTTGGAGGCTGGGCAGTACCATTCTCTGTGTGTTTTCTGGTGGAAGTCTGATCCCATGTTCTTTTTATTTATGTCAGTGGAATAGAACAGAAAATAATTTATTTCTGTTGGAAGGGACTACAACAATCATCCAGTTCAACTGCCTGACCAATTCAGGGCTGACCAAAAGTTCAAGAATGTTGTTCAGGGCATTATCCAAATGTCCCTTAAACACTGACAGGCTGAGGACATCAGCCACCTTTATAGGATGCCTATTCTCTCCACTCACTCTGCAAAGAAATGCTTCCTGATGCCAAGTCTAAGCCTCTCCTGGCACATCTTTGAACCATTCTCACATGTCCTATCACTGGATATCAGGAAGAGCTGAGTACTTCCCTTCCTCAGGAATCTGTAGAGAGCATTACCTTGAATCCCCTTTCTCCAAACTAAACAAGCCCAAAATCCTTAGCTGCTCCTCAAAATACATTTATCCAGCCTTTCACCACCTTTGTTGCACTCCTCAGGACATATTAATGGATCTTCATATGCTTCTTAAATTGTCTTTAGTTGGTGGACATAACACATGCTGTGACTTCTGTGCTGATGCCAACGAGCAAAGACCTGCTCTTATAATAGGGCATCCTAGCTTGCTGGTAAAACATGGATTTGCTCATGCTTGGAGAAAAATGTACAGGAGCCAAGCTCTTTTGGTACTGTACTGCCCTCAAAACATCTTTTCTTGCAGCCAGCCTCCAGCACAGGCATTGACTGAACCTGCCTCATGCTGGAAGAGATGGAAGAAGCAAACTTTGGAGTTATTCAGGATTTATCTCTGCCTGATGCCTGTCTTGAATGTTAGTGTATGATGTAATCATGCAAGGCAAAAAGTAAAGCAAGTCCTGGTGTATTCAAGAGAGCAGACTGCAAATTTTGCACCAGGTCTGCTTTTAGAAAAGGTACTGGTCTTTTTCCCTCTGATTATTTTCCCTTTCCTGCAAAAACATTCAGCACTCAAAGAAAATAGGAACTGTTGAAGTAACAGAGAATTGTGAGCCTGTGCTGCCTGGCAGCCCCCTCCAAGGCTCCTGCTTGCATTTCTGCGTGTGTTTTCAGGGAGGCTCAGCTGTTTTGCCTGTTCCCCTGAACCCAGGCTGCCCTGAGGCTAGCATAACTTTTTTTTTATTTTTTATATGGCATTTCTTCCCTCCAATCACCTCTGATATATCATAATGAAAGGATGAAGCCTTCTCCTCCTCCTCCTTCTCCAGCTGCTCTCCCGTGGATGATCACAGCTCACCTGCAAGCAGGGCTTTACATGGGGTGTGCTCTGCCACAAACAGTATTGTTTCTTCTTATATTTTCTTTTATTTTCACCTGAATGAATCAGTTTGTTCTTTGGGCTCACAGAACAAGAAATAGAGTCTGATGTGAGAACATGGGTCTCCAGGAAGGACAAGTTTCACTGGGAGAGGAGGAGGACACACATACCATTAATTCAGTCCCCAGCAGCAGAACTTGTCACTGTCAAGGTGCCACCAGTGTAATAGGTTGAATCTGACTTGAAAACTTCTAAGTCCTTTGCCTTGTTATTATCAGCTGGTTTTAATATCTCTCTTCCTCATTTATTTCTTTCTTCCTGTGAGCTGCGTTCACAAAGGATGACAAACTGAGAGTTAACTCCTCTGCTTAGCAACAGCAGAAGCATTTGAAAATGCAAACCTGTCTTGGTGTCACATTAGAGGGTTACTGCTCCATGAGCTGTCAGAGAGAGAGGACAAGAGGTGGGAAGATGTGGGAGTGCCTGTGTGACTCCATTCTCAGGACAGATTTCTCTCATGTGATACTTTTCACTGCTTTATCTAATTTCTTTCCTGAGTGGCTCAAATGATGAGATACCTGCTCCTTCTGCAGGAGAACTGGATTCATCAATACCATCAACACCTTTTCCTCTCCTCCTGTCTCTTCCCTACTCCTGTGCTTTGGTGAAACATCAGCAGGGATCCTGGGGACTCTGGGCTGGACTTTAACACCTTCTTACCCCCAGCAAGTCACATGGTGAAGTGATGAAGAAGATCAGGGAGGCGGTAGGAGTTCTGTTTAGCCTACAGCTACCCCACCAGGAGCCCTTTGTAACTCAAAGAACAAGCATCTATTCCTTGGGCTGTACTGAAACAGAGCAGGACACCTGGAGGTCCACTTCATCACTGTCCTGCCCCAGAGCTGGTCCTAAACAGCTTGAGATATATTTGTCTAACCAGTTCTTTTGTATTTGTCCTTCAGACTGCCCAAAGTGGAAATTCACGTGCTCCTAGGTCAATATGGTTCAGCTCTGGACTCAGCTCCTCTACCTCCTACAGACCTCTTAGGTCCCCCCACTGCCCAAATTTTACCCAGTTTTTTCTTGCCAAGACCACTGTAGGGGTATGGAAGACAGAAAGAGTGGCCAAGATTATTTCCTCTGTCTCCTTCCTGGAGTACCATTGCCCTGACTAGGTGCAAATCTCCAGCTGAGGCCACAGAGGTATTGGCAGCCCATCATTCCCACAGCAGCAGCACACATTGCCAATGGGACAAGGGGAAATAGCACCTGGGGTTTGCAGGCTGGTTTTATTCCCTTGGAGGGGCAGTAACAGATGAATCTGGGGTTACTTCTTTTATTTACACTGGATACCTCAGTCCCAGACCAGACAACAGACAAGCACCATGATGGATCTCAGCCCTGACACAAATACCCTGATGCCAAAGAAAGATTTCCCCATAAAACTCCCTGAGCATTTAGTGAGGAAAATCAAAATGTGATTATTTGGTCTGCTACCCAAGTGAACAATGTATTATTAGTGCATGGGGTGAGCTTCACCACAAAAAAAACCCCAAAAAAACCCAAAAGAACAGTTGCACAAGTGCTCTCACCTTCACATTGACATCTAGATAGGTGCAGAGCATCAGAGTACTCAAGGGAAGTAATTGTCAATCCTTGGGAATAAAAGCCTGTCCACAATTCTCCTTCTGGCTCTCTTTCACCTAAAAATGGGGCAAGCTCATCCTCAGGCAGAACTCATCGCAGGGATGAAAAGATGCTTTTGAGCATCAGTCAGCAGCATCTGGGTTAACAGGAGCCTCTTACATCAAAGTAGCCACCAGCAGGGTAATGCAAAGTTTGGAAGATTCAGAGCAAAGGAGAAGAAAAGTGAAGAGAAAAACAGATCTTTAGTGGAGTTTTTTCTTTTTCCCTATTTTGATTTGGCCTTTTTTCTGCTTGTTTTAATTTGAATAAAGTTGGCTTTACTCTTTTTTTTCTTTTTCTTTTTTTTTTTTTCCTTTTGACTCCAGTTTGCTCTTCTAAAATGGATGAAGTCCATCACAAGGGCTTGATAAAGAATGCTGTCACAATGCCTGCTGCTCCCATTCAGCTGATGAATAAATTATAAGTGCATTACAATACTATTTCAGCTGTGATTCCAATGCCTAAGGAGTGTGACGACTGTGACTTTAGTGGTTTGAATTTCCAAGAGTTTGTGTACCTGGCTGTTCAGGTCACCTTACACCTTGCATTCTGGGCTCAGTGTGCAGAATATCTGAGCCTTTTCAAGCTGCCAGACACAGGGACAGTCCTCCAGCTGCCCACAGGGGTCATGGTATGTGCCGTGGTCTTCAGTGATTCATGATCTCACAGAATCATAGAAAATGCTGAGTTGGAAGGGACCCATCAGGATTCTGTTGAAACCTGAAGTGACTGTTACCTCCACCTAAGCAGCAATCTGTGGAACATAATTCTTTATTGATGGGGCTGTGACTGGGATATCCATATTGTTCAGTCCCAGGAATAGTTTCTGTGTTGGGAGCTGGAATTCTAGGTTCTTCTTG